GCGACAACCTCTCCCGTCCGGCCTAAGTCAAGACATGCAAGAGGAACTGGGAAGCTGTGAAGCTTTCTGCAAAAGAGTGACGTTTCCAAAGGAGGCGGAGCGCGTTTGGGCAATATCCTCCTCACGCCCCAACCGCCGCAGTAGGAGGCGAGTTAGTTTAGATTTATAGTCAGATTTCAAAACTTCTGAATATGAAATAACAATTGATATGGTAATGTTTTTTGAACGAGTATAACATAATGCTGTGCTTACGTTATATTGGCTCAATAGTCGAAATTCTTTTTTTATTTCCTTTTTATAATAAAAACGTTGCCCCACACTATGATTTTCTCCTGTGTCGTGGGTGAGGTTACAAATATACAATTTCACATACGCATGACACCCAGAACCGTAACAACAATTGTGGGTCACACAAAGAGTTGTTTTGTGCGGGAATCGAACCCACGACACGTTGCACGGCAGCCAGTTGCCCAGCCACCGCATCAGCCGTGCAGTCAAAATGAGTATCCAATGTCCAACAACCGGTTTAAGTATAAAAACCACGGTCATGTTTAAGCCTTCGACATTTTAATAGGCGTTCCGAATTCTATAATTAAATCAAGTGCAATATTCCAACAGACACATTTCAAACGAAAATTATTTAATTTTCGATATTGCATGATTTCGAAAGGTATCAACAAATATTTTGATAAATTCTCGTTAAATTGAATTACGTAGGTACCAGTTACTCAATAATTTAATAACGTAGTGAATGCGCAGATATAGGGAAGTAAATAATAAAATGCACAATCTTAGAAGGCGAGTTACCCTTACTCGCCGACCGCAGACCCGCGCTTACGGTGGCCGGAGATCGTCCCTTGATCCCCGATAGGTCAGGGGGTAATCTTTGGAACCACTGATCGGATTCCCAAAATTCTTTCACTTGTTGATAGCTACAATGTTCCTGAGTGCTATAGGCTATAAAACATCACACTACAATCAAATGGAGCCGAGCAGCGAAAAAAACCGCGCGGGAGAAGCTAGTATTAAATAAATACATTGTAGCCTTTGTATCATTCAGGAAAATAATCGCTATCTATACCAATTTCATACAGTTACATTTCGTAGTTTACGAGTAAGATTCCCGCCGAAACTTGAAACTAATAGTATAGTTATTCTTAGTTAATTCTTACGATAGTTAGTATACAAAAATCATAAAGACTTATTTATGATGGGAAGTGATTTAAAGATTCCTTTTACTGCAACAACCGTTTTTATTTATGGGAAAATAATACTTATATGTTTTTAATATAACATCAACAGCCTTCTGGTGAACTATATCTGGTTTTCGTGATAATTTCCGAATTTGTGCCTCGACTTCCAAACTTGTCTGATCTTGCTACATGTGGGAGACCTAGGCTTCCTCACGAAAGGGCCTAAGTAAAACCGCGATGCCTTACAGAAGACCGGGCGGGACAAAACTACACATGTGTTCCGATGTGAAAATAAGGTTACCGAAGGCCCAGTTACTTGTGTTGATGACCGATTGCTTACCATCATCTGTTTCGTCTGCTCGATTACTCCCTCACTCCATACTATCAAAGAACGTAGAAATTTTATTTTAGGTAAAAGTTTACCATAGGTCGCTGCGCTTCCAGCTCCAGCTTATAAAACCCGCGGGAAGAGGAGTTAAAGATACACATATTCTAGGCCAAACGATCAATACAGAAGGAGAAGTCAGCTAACAGAATCCACGTGGAACTCGATTAAAGATTCTAGTGTCGATTAGTCAGTGAACTTTAAAACTTAACATCGAACGAATTTACTGGACGAGTTGACGAGTTAACTGTACAGACTCTTGACTCCAGTCAGTCGTACCTAGTCTTTTCTAAGTAAAGTTGCAAATGTCGAAAGCAATGAAGATTGTTTTACAACATGTAATGACGCGGGTATTAACGCGAAAAGCATTAATATTGCCTTTCCAACCAGATCGAAACGTCAATCTTAACAAGGTATTTCAATAAATACTTTTCGCGTTAATACCCACGTAATTATATGTTGTAAAATTAAATATGAAACGCAATAGTTTAAAAGTTAGAATGATGACTTTGTTTTTTTTCTTTATTAGACATTAAACAGTTACACATTATAATTATGTTATTACAGAATAGATGCATATAAAAACTAGGAGTGTGTGACTCACACAAATGTTCGCGAAATAATAGTATAATATAGATAGATATAATTTTATTAAAAACGTGGGTGTGAAGCTGCTAAGCATGTAGGTACTCGTAGGAAAATAATTATATAAAAGCTTAAGTCTCAATAGAATTTCTAAAATAGTGACTTAAGTACTTAATTATTTTAGAATTTAAAATCCAGTAATAGAAGTGGAAAAACAACTTTATTTTTGGAAGGCATCATCGTCAATCATATCTCGTCTCTCTCATCGATCATAATCTACATTAGATGTATCTATGTATAAATATATGTGTAACATTTCCGTTAGTTACCTATAGGAATCATTATTCGAGTGACTGACTGAATGACGGACAAGGCACAACGACCAATAGTATCGGTCGTTGAAAATTGAATTTGGTTGTCGTCAGTTTCTGAAAAGAGGAAACTCTAGGCGAGAATTTCTTATACCTTATATTTATGATATTTGGACAAACATATATGTCATTTCCGTAGCAACATATATATATACCAGCTAGTCATTCGATGCTAATTAAAGTTTAATAAAAATAGTAATTTAATTTCCTTTTCTTTACCGCTTAGACAATACTATTGTATGCAATTTATTTTCAGCTAGAAGACATGTGTTTTTTATTGCAATAAATACCTTAGCTATGTTTTACTAAGCGAATACAGCTTTCGTTAATGCATGCACACTTTTTGCATGAAATAAAAATAGTAAAAAAACTGACGTATCTAGGTAACATTTTAACAAAGGCAGGACGGCCAGCTTCTTTTAAACTTGATTTTAGCACGTAACAACGTGTAGCGTGGCAAAACATGAGAAAGGATAGTTGGATATAATATTAATACTCATTATAGACAGATTTCTAATCGTATAACGTCTTTATTGAAATGGAGAAATTGTTCTTCTGAACCTATTGCAAAAATCAGTGTTCAGAAAACAATTACTGTAATTTTTATTCAGTTCTTCAAACAGAGACTGTCCATGCGGTCAATTTTACACGTATGACGATAAGATAAGATAAGGATGATGAATGTTAATGTTCGAAATATAAATTGAAGATTATTTTGCCCAATAACTATGTGCCAGAATCGAGACGGAGCACGGTCTCGAGCATAAGTTTTCCTGTCTAAGAAAAATACAGTAGACCTCATTGTTTCACAACTACTACTACCTAAATACTTCAATTATCCGAAGAAGCTATTAGGAAACATATATACGAACACATGCTAGATCAATCCTTACCTTGGCCGGTTAAAAATACGTAGAAAAGCTTCAGATCTGGTTCGATGAGTCGCACACTGGAAATATATCGAGCATTTCACTGTTCTATATGTGACGTTATGTTAGTAGGATAAGCCTTTCTATATCGAATCACATCATATTATCCGCCTATGTAAAATATGTAAAGGCAGATAGGCGATTTCAAACTTATAATTACAAATTACAAGTCTAGTCTAAAGATTAAAATAGCGATCCTTTCCTGCGCCGAATGTCAGTGGTGTCTTAATAATCATATAAAGTGAAGTGAACGCAGGAAAAGTCATATTACTACGTGCCAGGTTTTGAACACGCGTCCTGTCAGGATTAAATTGTTGCCTGAAAACCTTTTGGTGCGAAAAATCAATATTTTCCAAAAGCTTTTTAAAAGAAACATTACAGAAGTCTCTTGAGTTTGATAATGGTCGAGGTTGTAAGTGCAAGCGTATTAATTTCCCGCGGCAGTGGTGTTGGTTTTTAGTCAGTAAGAGCCAACCAACTAACCAAATACAACTAAAAACTAAAAAGCCTTTGATGATGGAATACAGAGTTTATTATTTAGTTACATCATAGTAGTTATATCATTTCTGTGTATCCTTTAGCCTTGTTTATATTAGTTAGGATGCGTGGAAGTTGGTATATTAAAACAGTTACCGTGAAGCATGACTGCGAGGTCTCCTTTACGTAGGTATATGTACCTAACATCAACAAATTTCCATAGGTTATGTGTACCTACAAACCAACTAGTTTTTGATTACATTTCTCTCAACAAGGTATTTAGTTTATTAGTTCATGGTACACATAATTATATACATTTGAATAAGTTTTGAATTTTAATTCCGAGCATGTTTTTTTTTGAGGTAGGTGAATCATTATTGCCTTATATAACCCTGTTTTGAGGAGAGATAATCATCAAATATCTTCTCTCAGGTTATAAGGTACCGCAGCCTTGGGATGTAGTTGACAAAGGGACGGGGTGGTTTTTAGACTGTAAAAGTCTTACACCCTCTTAAGACGCAGCATACCTGTGAATAGTCATGCTTCGGCACGGATGGGTTGGCATCAAATGACTTCTCCCGCCGAGGGCCGAGTGGGAGGGAGTGTCAGAGTCTTACTGACTAAAAACCCTCCTGTTCCTTCTGCTGCTCTGGGCCGAGGTCGCGGTGCCTCATTGCGCTTACCCCGCAACCCCGGCTGAACATCAGCCCTATAGGGCTCCGTCTGTGGTGGTTTATTGGCTCTTTGAGGTGCGCGGAACGCTACGCGCCGTACGCTCGGGTCTTGTTCTGGTCGGTGACGCAACCCTTACATTGTGTTTGCGGTTACCGGAGGTCCAACTCTACCTCCCACCCCCATCTTTAATCCTTGAATCCCGAATAACTTACAAAAGGCAGTCAACACAATTCTAGTGTCTCCTTTGGTACTACGAATGTCCATGTGCAGCGCTGATTGATTACCATCAGGTAAACCATCTGCTCGTTTGCCGACCGAAGAAAAGTTAAACCTGCATCATTTGTTTTTATTAAATTAGTGTTTAACAGTATTTATTTGGTTTTAGGTGAAGTAATAGTGCTGAGAGCTATGCGCAACCGAGAGGCAAGGCTGCCTTGCGGAAGGGGTAAGATCACCCTCGATGGCCCACAAGCATACGTCGTGTGGTTACGACACGAAAAAGATATTGTCTATAAGTATCCTAACAGCGAATACGAAGAAGGGTAAGTCTTTGCTTTCATACAGAAGGTAATTTTTTTATAGAAAATAAAAAACTTTTTCTCGATAACTTCAACGCCACTGAAAGAAGTAAACTTAATGAAAATGAAAATTTAACTTGACGGTGAGGGTAAAATCATTGCTAAATTTCAATTTCAATTTCATCATTCTGAATCAAGAACTTCTGGTAGGATTATTTAATCACGATGTTTTCAATGTTATCACGCTTCATTAGGCCCTAGTAGCTTACCGTGGCTTTCAATCGTGGTAATGCAAGATATAATAGAACCGACTCGAACGCCGGCGTTCACTTGGGATTCCGCCTTTGTAATGTTTTGGTGCATAAAGTTTAAATAAATAAAAGTAACAAGTTGCCTCAAAGGCAAGAAAAAATTACTCCAACTAAACCATCTGTACCTACGAATCTGTTCGCAAGTAACCCACAAAGTATCTGTAACTCTTGAAACGTTAAAAATAGTACTAAGATTATATGATATTTATACTGTGTACCTATACCAAATCGGTAAGATATTCTAAATGCTTAACAAATAGCTTCGTGGCATTTGTCGCGGGCTGAACATTCCTGAGCAGGAACTACATAGGAGCTAAGGTAATGGTGGTTTTTAATATCATACCAAGATAAAATATACAACATCCACATTGTAAAAAGGTCATGCCTATTCCAGTAGAGCTTACAAGCCTATAGCCTCATATTATATGGCTAAGGTTTGAGCATTAATCACCAAGCTTGCTCAAGGCGGATTGGCGATTTCAAACATATAATCAGAAATTATAAGTTCAGGCATACTCATGTCTGTAGTGTTTAAATAATATAATGACTCGGTAAATGCAACATTAATCTTTTGTTTTTAACGGCTTACCATTTTAGTTCTATTCTAGTTCCGCACCTTTCACACTATTCTAGAAATTATATTTTTGTTCCGTTTTCGTACAACGAAAAACATGAATGTGAAGTTTTTAAATCGAAGAAGCCTCAATATCTTGTTTCATATTGTACTTTTTTGCATTTATTTTTGCCGAATACTTTTTCGCTGTCGAAAATTTTAAGCCTTTGACGGCACCGGTGCGCGGTGGCTGCAGTGAAAATCTACAGCATGTTTCACGGAAAAGAACCAAAGTATTTGATTAAGTTCTCCTTTGTCATCTGGTCTTTGTCCAATATCCGTTTGTCCTGGTATGCAAACATCGTGTTATTGATATACGGATAAATCCTTGGAAATTCGAAACATGGGTATCAGAATATATAAATATCAATATAGGTATATGAAGGTAGGTATGTGTAGCATGACTTTTGAGTAAAACAAAATTCAACCTACTTTTATGTTTGTGCAGGTGATTTATATTTTTTTTATTTCATTGGTTAAAACATAGTTGGCGTGTTTAAACACATTTTAAAAGAAATGCAACACGAACTACGATATCTTAGAAGTCGGTTAAAACGCTTCTCAGTATTTCAATAAAGTATCTATAGTACCTAAACAATAATTACCTGATTAACTTCTCTCTTTGAAAAGATAAAAAATATATATATACGTAAGTTCGGGTTACTTTGACCCTGGGAGGTAACTTTGATCCAAATTTTCGAACCAATGAAAAACGAATATACGTTTGGTTCTCAGTTATTATTGGTTTGAATCAAAGTTACCCCGCAGGGTCAAAGTAACCCGAACTTACCCGGTAGTCGAAATGTTTATATTTTTCAATTTTGACTCCAATGTTAACGTAGTGGCAAAGAATATTATTCGTTGCGGGAACTCCCAATTCTTTGTGTGGTCAATGTTACAAATTCAGTGTATGATGTGTTGGAATTTGTATATGTTTGTAAAGGCATCCTTAGGTAAAATACAAGGATGAAGATAGGTTTCTTAGGTAGACAGGCTTAAATTAGTTAAATATACTAAACTTATTTTTCCAGATTCCTTCATTTTACAGTTTTTATTCTTCATTGGTCTACGGCTCTAAAACTTCCTTTAACATTTCTCTGAACGCAATCGCGTAGATCTACTAAGTCCTTTTTAAAAGAAACGGGAGCGACACAGCTTTCTTTGAAAAATGTCTTAAAAATTAAATATTATTTTTTCACATTTACTTTTACCTACTGTCTCTAGTTTACGGTGGCGCCGACGATGTCGTTTTAAAAGCATCTCACTATTTATTTCTGCGAAGTTTTAAAACACGGTGCTTGACGCTTTTTTAATTTTCAAGAAAAATAAAATATTGGTCAAAAGTATAACCTTTACGTGGAACGACTAAATTCATCTTGTTATTTATTTTATTAAAGAAAACTTTGCTATTTATTTTGTAAGCTGTTTTATCGATGTCCTTGCTCTAAATATCTTTTTCATGTTTGTTTTTTTTTAAATGGGTATCTAAGCATAGTTTCTAAATCATTTTCATCATCAGCCATTGACGCTTATAAGGCTGTTTATTAGTACTCGTATAACTTCTTCACTCATCGAATATGAGAGGCGAGTCCATCCGAGTTAGTAAGATTACGCATAGTTTTTTTAAAGACATAAATATTATCACGCTTTTGATCCGGGAAGGAAGTCAGCGGTGTACATATTTTATAATGTAACAGCACTAATGTCGTAATAAAAAGAAAGTAGACCAACATATGAGTCTAATGTTAGGGTAAATGTCAATAAATGTCAATAAGCATTTGGTAAGCTTATTACCCCATTCGCAGTGGTACCTTTAAAAGACTAGGTAAAGGCTAGGTATTGCCATTCAAGGCTGCCAGTCTTCTGTAACGTCGTGGTGGTCCGAAGGTTGAGCTGCTCATGTGTGAGGGAACGGGTTCGAAACTTGACAAGAACCAATGTGACTTTTTCTGAGTTATATGTACTTTCCGTGATTATTTGACTGAAAACTGACAGTGTGAAGAAAAACATCGTAAAGAAACCTGGATTTATAATAATAAGTTTGAAATTGCCAATCTGCCTTGAGCAAGCGTGGTGCTCAAACCTTCACCGTGTGAGAAGAGGCCTTTGCTCAGTAGTGGTCACTTATAGGCTGATGATGTGTGATGATGTTGCCAGTCTTCTAGACACCCTACCTCGAGAAACCGATAAGGAGTTTCATTAAGTTATTACAATGTGTTATCATTGTTAACAATTAAGTTACAACTTAGTTGTTGTAGATAATGAATGAAAATTGTTTGAATTGGGTGCAAGATGGAAATTGCATACCAGCAAATTAACTGGAAGATATTGTTAAAGAATTATGTAGACATCTTGTAGCTATTATGTTTAGTGTGGAAGAGCCTAGCTCCGGCACGGATGGATCGGCTCGACCAGAAACCGACGTGAAACAATCACACCGTTGTGTTTCGCCATGTGAGTGAGGTTACCGGTGGCCCAATCCTTAATATCCGAAACCCTTATCCCTACAAAACCGGCAACGCACTCGTAACTGATGTTGTCAATGGGCGGCGATGATTGCTTACCATCAGGTAATCCATAATGATCGCTTGCCGACCTATACCATTGAAAAAAAATAAAAAGCGATAATTACGAAGAAGTCAATTAAAATGTTTAGTGTGTCATTTACAATAATTATGATCATATTTCTAGATTGATAAACCCGGAACGAATTATCGAGACGTCTTGCAACCCTGGTTCGTGTCGGGACCACACCAACTTGTTACTGAAGAAGGTGACAGATCATGATGGTGGAGTCTACCGTTGCAGGGTGCACTACCAATCCTCGCCAACAGTTGACCATGTGATCAAAGTGCGCGTAGTCGGTAAGTGGATAGAAGCTGTGTTATTTCTGTCCATCTTATAGTCAGTCGGTACCTCATATCTGAGGATCGTGGTTACATCTGCAGCGAATGACCTTGAGAAAGATACGGTGTTGAATATGTTTTCTTTCCATAGTCCCAAACAAAATTAGGTTTGGTAATAGATGGATGGATAAGGTTTTTGGTAATGTTAATGACACAGCGAAACACAATGATGAAGTGTTGACTGGGCAACTGGCTACAGTGCAACATGTCGCGGATTCGATCCCCACACGGAACTCCTTTTTGATTGCTCCTTATATTGTTGTTCCGAGTCTGGTTAGGGCAAAAAACAATGATAATAACAATAAGGGTTCCTGATTGTGTTATAAGGTTTTCCTATTTCTAAGTTAATTTTAAATTTCGCAGACTCCCCTGGTATACCGAAAATACTAGTAGACGGAAAGGAAATTCGCAGCATCAATGTAGGCCCACTCAGCGTTGGTTCCAATGTTAATATAAGTTGCCAGGTGGAACTTAGTAAGTATGAATGTTCTATTTTTAATTTTAGCCTCAAGCGAAAAAACCAGGTTTCAACATTTGAAAACTAATTCATAGAAAATAAGTATGTACCTACGACAACTGATCTATTAAAACGATCAAAATTTTAGGCCTTATTTTATTGAGATTAGAATTCATATTCCTCATTTCGATACATCTATATCTTTTTTTTTTTTTACTTGCAATAAACTAGTGCTTGACTTGAAGTCCAGCCTTGCTCTTTTTCTTCTAGTCTGTGTTTTAAACTACAACTAACTACAAGTGTATCACTACTAGGATACATATCATCATCATCATCATTTCCAGCCTGATTTCAATTTCACGTTACTGAGCTCGATGTTCAGCTCTTCTCATCCAACCACTACCATACACTACGTTTGCCTAGGATACATAGGTATTATAATTATTTATTGACTTTTCTAAATCAGCTGGGCTTTAGGACCAAACCCGTCAATTGATCCAAACAACCATTCCTTTGGAAACGGAACAAAACATAGTGCTACCGACCGGAAAACATTTCAACCCATATGGCAATGAGCTGACTTTACTCCACTACAATCACAAATATTAACTGTGTCTGATCGAGGTGATCATTTTGTATGGAAAAGCATTTTTTTTAGTTTCCTGAAAAAAATTCCTGGTCATAGTTGTTCAGTTTCGTTGACTGAGCAACCCCTATCAGTTTGCGGGACGCTGTCCCTTACACCCTTAATACCCGGTATACATATGTCATTCATTGGACTGTTTTTTTTTGTGTAATTTTTTCTCTACCAATGAGTATCCATTTAAGCATTCACTTCGCCATTTTCGCTTTACAGAAGACCCAGCGACCGAAGTTTACTGGCGACGCAATGGAGCAATAATGGAAACAACTCAAATAACAAAAACTGACGTTTTGCGAGCTGACATATATTTGGAGAACCTAACTAGGAATGACGCTGAGACGCACTTCGAATGCCTCGCGCAAACGTCCGATGTATCCGAGGCACTTGTACGATCTATCGTCATTCGGATGATTTGTAAGTATCACCTAAGGCAAACGTTGCTGCCGGGGTTGCGGGGTAAGCGCAATGTATCACCGCGGCCTCGACCTAAAACAGGAGAAAAAACGGGTAGCGGTTAAGTCAGTGAGAGTCTGACACTCTCTCTCACCTTACCCTAAAATCATCAAATAATTCTTCCGCCCAGGGTCGGACGGGAGGCAGTGTCAGACACTTACTGACTAAAAATTTCCCGTTCCTCCTGGGCTGAGACCACGTTGCCTCTCGCCCCACACAAGATATTCTCACTAATTAGGTACTGAGTTTTTGTAATATACTGACTTCCTCTTCATTCTTCAGTGCCCCCCTTGAGTGTTCACATTCGATTGGATGGAAACTACAACTTCGAGGTGGGCGTTCCCCGAGTGATTGAGTGCCTCGTTGTCGGAAGCTACCCCGCACCATTCGTCGGCTGGTTCCTCGGTGACTCCTTGTTAACTCCAACATCATACAAGGTAAACTCCAAAATACATATGTATTTTAACAAAATAATCTTGTTCCCAAATGAAGTGATTTGTTCTTGTTATAGTGCCTAGTAATTGGTGCGTGGCTTTATAGTCCCATTAAATTGACCTTTAAATGTCAAATACTATTACAGCTTTGTAAAACATTTTAATTACAAGGATTAATCACCATGCTTACGCAAGACGGGTTGATTTTTTTCTAACTTACAATCATTAATTTTAAGTGTAAAAGATTTGGTGTTTAATTAATTATTTACAATTTCGATTTCCAGCAAATTGACGACGGAAATGCGACCGTTTCAACCCTAACGTTGTCTCCTGCTCTGGAAGATTCTCGAAAATACCTGACCTGCCGCGCTCACAATATGCTCATACCTTTGGAACAATTCGAGGAGAAAGTCACAATTAATGTTGGCTGTGAGTATTCATATTTTTTATTTTACATTTCTATTCTCTCCTGTGTCATATCCCGAATATGAACATTCTCACCAATCAACAACAATTTGTCGATCACACAGATTTTTTGGTTACTCAACGACTGCGATAGTCCGAGACTATTCATTCAAATTCACAAAAAAACATTCTACTTTTGTCTGCTTCAGCATATGAATGCAGGAAGATTCTTGCTAGCTCCACATAAAAAATGCTTTTTAAATACATCATTATACTGCGTAACTTGCTGACTGCTAACTAAATTCAACTTAATTCTGTATTAATACCTAATCTGTTCTTTTATTTGCCAGTTGCCCCCAAATGCGAGACAAAGTTAATAAAAAGAATTGGTGTGGTCAAACAAGAACCTGAAACAGTGACGTGTACCGTACAAGCGGCCCCTGCACCGGTGCAGTTCAAATGGACATTCAGAAACTCGAAAACAGTGATCACAAGGACGGCAGTAAGTAAAAACTTTGATTTATTTGTGGGGGGGAAATTGTCAAGTTTCTTCTTTCGCCCAGCATATGGCGAGATGGTATGTCAGTCACTAACTGACTTAAAACCAGCCCGTTCCATCTCCTGCTCCAGCCCCGAGGCCGCGGTACCTTAACGCTTGACCCGCGTTATTACCTGATATCTCCATAAGTTTCAATTTAGTTAATTTAGTTGCTACTCCCGCTATTTAAAGTATTCGTTGGCTCCTATTAACCTCAGTGTGATCTCGAAGAATTATGTTACACTTCTTCGATAAATTAGCTTAAAAGGGCTTTTATAAACCAGTTGTCCATAATCCCCATGTCCCTAATCCTGATCCCCAATGTGCTCCATCAGCCTGGAGTTAACGCACTTGTCTAGTATTATGGGTGTCTACGAGCCACGCCCAATGCTTACCATCACCAGCGATGCTTCTACTAGTTGGCCACTACTGGCTGCGGTCAAACAAACAAGTTTCGAAATGTATCATTACACGTTTTGGGAGAAATAAGTACAGTTTGAAGAGAGAACTTGACAAATCCTTTCATAATAGAAATACTCTTACAACAATTCATCATTACTAATTGCAGTCTGTCTCCGGCACCCGATACTCATCAAACCTGACCTGGCACCCTCGTGATAGTGACTTCGGGCGGCTCGAATGCCGAGCAACGAATAGCTTCGGCATACAGAAAATTCCCTGCCTATATAACATTACTCAAGGCGGCCCCCCAGAAACCCCTGAATGTGATATTGCGCGATCTGTGGCTAGTCACCTGAACGTGGACTGCAGACTAGGTCAGTTCGCATATTCTCTTTATTTATTTCTTGTTAATATGACTAAATGAGTGTCCTGGTAGGACAGAGATTAAGGAGATCTTATATAACTTATTTACTAGTTAGTTATTTAAAAAAATGTAATGGAAATAGTTCGAATACTTAATTATTTTGTCTGTATAATTGATTATCTATGGTACTTATTTAAGGCACTTTCATCAATTTTAACATTCTGTGGACTATATAGTTAAGATGGACATAATTAAATAAATTGTGGATCTTGCTCGATGGTTTCTTTAAAACATTACTCCCGTTCGGTTTCACATGCTGTTTTTTATTAGAATAATAACATTCATTCGTTAATTAAATGTCTCTCGTAACGTTTGGTGACACAACGCGATAAGTTTCGAGCCACTCTCGGGGCTCATATTTAGCAGCTTTATGCAATGCTCGACTTTTGTATCATAATATTTAACTTCACCCTTACATACACCTATTAACAATATGATAACTAATGATGATTATGATTTTGTTCCGAAATCCGAGCCAGAAATGAAACTACAGTTCTTACTAAAGTTTTAGGTACTGGTAACGTCTTACCTAATTATTTATTTATATTTTAATTTCTGAATTCGCTTAAAGTGGTTTTGCTTGAATATGTTAACAATAGTTTAATTTGCATTCAGGGTGGGACGGAGGGAGAAAACAAACAGTAATATTTGAACTAGTGGATGAATCACAAAACTTGATCAGACGCGTAAATGATTCAAACGGACACTACCGCTTTAGGAACCTACCAGAAAACGAAAACTTCACAGCTACTTATTACAGTTCAAATTCAAGAGGAAAAAGCAAACCCGTAACGTTGGTGCTCAAGTCGCTAGCTTCTGCTATTAAAGAAAGTAAAATGCAAAGTACGTAAACATTTATTTTATCACACTATAAAATGTAGTTGATTTCACTTTGAGAAAAAATACCCCATGTCAAAATTATTGGATTTCGAATATGTATATGTAATATTAAAATTGGTTTTTTTTAGAACATAATTTAAATATCTGCCTAATACATTGTCGATACGTTTTACTTAGTTAGGTACACCTATTTGTTTTTTTTTTCAGGGGAACGGAATAACCATACCGCCTCAAGCCACTGGATGTCTTATGTTGAGCCGATTATAGGTATGTTCACTATAAGTATTGCGGTGGTGGCTATAGGTCTCGGAACGCAACTATTTTACATAAACCGTGATACCGAAGATGCTGAACCAGACTTGGTCCCTCGCCATACCGGTACGCTCAATCAATTATTACTAGACTACTGTTTTTATTTAAATTTTTGTCCAAACACTAATTTGCTTATATTTTTTTTTTAGAGAGCTGCCACCGCAATACTGATAGTGTGCTGGAACCAGAGTCGCTTGAGTTAACTAATACCGTGAGTAACAGTATTAATATTTTTTATTTATTTTTATCGTTATCATTGAACACATTACGATGTACAAGTAGACCATTACGATACTTGTACTAAGTAAGTAGATAATCAGGTTTTTTCTCTCTCTAAAACCAATGATATCATTTAATTAATAGATAAAATTGTATCGAATACTCATAATGATTAGAACAGAATAGAAAATTCATAAAAATCTTATATATAAAAATGGATCGCAAACAGTGTTGGTAAGCGCATAACTCGACAATGCCTGGACCAATTTTGCTAATTCTTTTTTTGTTGTGTTTGTTATTGTCAGGAGAAGGTTCTTATCAAAGAAAATATTAGAAAAGTAAAGGGGAAGATTAGGAAAAGGTGACCCTTTGATAGCGAGATAGACCCGTGCGAAGCGGGGGCGGGCCGCTAGTTAAATAATAAAATCATTTTTAAATTAAAGAAAATATTTCGATTAAATTCAATTGTTTTTCTTTAATTCTTTAGGTACAATTTCATAAACCAACCTATTAATTAATTGACGATATTTTTTAATTTTTTTTTATTTAGAGGCTTTTGCTTTACAAAGGTATGTCAGCCTCATAAAATTGACGATTTATAATGTCTACTATTATCTACCTACATTTATATTATTGAGTATGGCAATAATATGACATGTTTCTTCTCCAGCCATTCTGTTCACCCGTGGTGCCTACTTGCAGCGTGCTTATTGGATGTCCTAACTCTCCTACGGATGAGACTAACAACGAGGACGAAGATGATGAAGATGATAGCCAACAGTCCTTTTTCGTGTAAAAATACAAAACAGAAACAAATATATTATGCCTTTAAAGACGTCAGATTACAAGAAAAAATAAGGCAACGTTTTAAGCCAACGAGAAATTTGCACGTACTAGCAACAGAACACAGTAATACAAAATAACGTTTAAACTGAAGTCACCATTTATCTGTCGTCTTTATTGATATATTAACTAATTTAATGTATTATTGTTACGTTTTTAATTAGACAGGGATTAGGATTGAGCTCTTAGCTGGCCTCGCTCGATGTCCAAGGCTGATGACTGACTTAGACATATAAGTGTTAGGTCATTCCTTATAGGAATAACTAGATATAGGTTTTGTAATCTAATGGCATGTCGTAGAGAGATGTGTAAATCTTTGGTTAATATATTTAGGCCACAAGTTGTTGTCAAACTATTTTACCGTTTCACGTTTGTTTATCTTAATTTCGCAAGGTGCCGTTATACGGTATCCTTGACCCTTGTATGAATGTATAAAATAAGTATACCTAATTCGTAGGTATGTAAAAATGAAATATACTCATTTATGTACACACATAACTATAAAAAGAATATTGAAATGATTGTTTATTAAAAAAAAAACTGAAATAAAATATTTTCAGTTCAAACTCGATGGTAGACGTTTCATTTTCCCAAATATTAATGATTTTTTTTTCAATCCATGAAAATTTTTATTGGTTAGTCTTCCCTATTACAGAGCATAACAAAACTGGCGAAACTTATGAACATAGATACTTACAAATATCTTTGCCATCAAGTCTCATATCTATATATCTAAAACATGTCGGTAAGCCCATAACTCAACAACGCCTGGACCAATTTTGCCAATTCTTTTTTTGTTGTAAGTTTTTATTATTGTCAGGAGGTCCTTAACAAAGAAAATATTAGAAAAGTAGAGGGGAAATTTGGGAAAAAGGACCCTTTCGTTATTAGCGAGATAGATGGGCCCGCGCGAAGCGAGTGGGCCCGAATTATTACATAAAAATGCTTAGCTCTAAAAATCCCCCGTACCTTGTCCTGCTCCAGGCCCAGGACGCGACACCTTATTGCGCTTGATATGCAACCCCTGCCAAGCATTAGCCATGCTGGGCCCCATCTATGATAGTGTATTGGCAACCCTTGCTCGTCGACCGCAGACCGCGCTTACGGTCGCTTGAGATCGTCGCTCGGTCCCCGACACTCGGAGTAGGATAAGTTCCCTCCGAGTCCGTGAAAAGGATAGTTCCCTCACGCCCTTTGTCTCCTCCTTAGCGAGCATCACTACTTCGCCAAAATAGCAGGCGGCTTCCCAGTTTCTCACACTCCGCAATATGGTCACGACTTCGGCGGGACCCGAAAAGTCGCTGCCGCTGATTACTTCCTTGAGGGTCTCTACGTACTCCTACGATGGTAAAATGCGTAATGGCAAATAAGAAACTTCTATTTTGTCATATGTGGTAAATATCTATCTATAGGTACTTCTTATGTATAAAAATGGATCGCAAAATGTGTTTGTAAGAGCATAACTCAACAATGCCTGGACAAATTTTGCTAAATCTTTTTTTGTTGTATTTGTTATTGTCAGGAGTAGGTTTTTATCAAAGAAAATATTAGAAAAGTAGAGGGGAAGATTAGGAAAAAGTGACCTTTTGATACCGAGATAGTTCGACCCGTGCGAAGCGGGGGCGGGCCGCTAGTACTTATAATAAATCTGTAGAGAGGTCAATTCTGTACATTAAATATATTTTCAAAATAACTACCAGGGGGTGATAAGTTATCGATACTGATGCCAAAAATGCAATCAGTAAAATTTTTGTCTGTCTGTCTGTCTGTATGTTTCTTATAGAGAAAAAACTTGGTACAATTATTCTTTATACTTCTGGGCAGGTTATAGGGTACTTTTCATTGCAATACAAATAATAGAGAGCAGAGCAGTGAAGGACAATGTTGGGAAAATGGGAGTAAGTAGTTACTCCCTTTTGTAAGTTTCCGTTGCGTGTGTAACCTTAATGGCTAAAGTTAGATAGAAATTATGTGTGACGGAAATATTCTACATAAAAGTGAGGGGTGTGGGAGAGCCATGCTTCAGCACGAAAGGGTCGGCTCGACTGGAGTGATACCATGGCCTCACAGAAGACCGACGTGAAACAACCACAGCGTTGTGTTTCGCCGTGTGAGTGAGGTTACCGGAGGCCCAATCCTTCCCCGCCCCCAATCCCTCCTCAATCCCTAAATCTCCAAACCCCTAATCCCTAAAAGGTCGGCAACGCACTCGTAACTCCTCCATTGCGGGTGTCCATGGGCGGCGCTGATTGCTTACCATCAGGTAATCCGTCTGCTCGTCTGCCGACGAATTACACAAAAAAAATATCTAAAAAAAAATGTCTTACAGCATATTTATTTTAGATAATTTTATTTCTTTTATGGTTAAAGCACAATAGCACGTGTGACAACGATGGACCTTCATTCAGCGCATCGAACAGCCACAGCAGCACGGAACAAAAGATCAAAAGAAAGTAAGAAACTGTTTTTTCTGCTCCGTGCACAGCAGTGACATCTAAGAGCAACGCAGCACGCAACTCGCGCGACGAGTAATATGCAAAATAAGAATTCTAAAGTATGGAGGACTGCTGAGCTATTTAAAAAACTTTAATTAGGTACCTATTGATTCTATTTATTTATTAATTATAAACTCTTTGGGGATGTATACTTTCTACCAAAATCTATATTTTGGTAGGTCCATAGGGTAGGTCCATTGAAAAATAATTGCCATAATAAAAAATATGACGGATAGCATCCTTACATTAAATTGTAAATTATATACTACCTGGTATTATGTAATAAAACAGCTTGTATAATTGTAAGTATATTATTGATTTTTGCATAGAACAACATAATAAACAAGTTAATAAACTTGATATGTCTGACAAAAAACAAATGACAATGTCAAACTGGACAACAGACATAAAATTTTACCGTTTTTAATCTGTGTGTGCCTGTGTGTGGAATCAAATGACGCTTTGTGAAACGGTACGTTTACATACATATTTATGTTTGAATTTCTATTTTTATCAATGAAAAATGCATACGATGCTTTAATATAAAGTTTCAATTAATTGATTTTGCGGATAGGTACCACAACTGGTTGGTAACTTTTGTAATTCATCGTGTTTGGGTACTTACCACGCCCTAAATTTTCAACCGTTGGGCATTAGGCGCGGTCGATTCTTACACAGAAACAGCCCTCAACATTGGTTCTTGACTGAAATTTTTTCTTCAACAGGTTGGAACCAGTTTGTAAAGAATGTCGGCACCTGAAATTAACGCTTACTTTACAGGGAACGGGACGTACAAGCCTATAAACCCAATTGTCTCGAAAGTTGGTGATTTCACACCGTTTTACATTGCCATTGCAATCTGCTCGGTGATTCTTGGATTTCTGATCATACTGAACGTGGTGTGCTGCTGTTCCAGGTACTCAGAGTACTGGCTGGACAGACATACAGGTGAGTTTTACTTTGTAAGTAGATAGTCATTTTCCAACACGAAACTGTTTAAAACTTAATGAAAATAAGATATTCGTAATATGTCAATCATTCGTTTTGCACTAGTTGATGTTCCAATTATGAATTTTGTTATAAATTAGTAGACAAAATAACACAATCATTGGGTCATTTCAAGTTATAAAGTTATAATTATATAAAGCTGTTTAATGTTCCCATAATTTCTTATAAGAATACCTATTAAATTAGATCTTAACATTTTAGTAAAATACATTTTTTTACCTTACAGGTAACCGCTGGATCGTGTCTATCTGGTCGGCAACTCCACACAAGCAGCCTCCTCTAGACTTCACAGAGCTCGAGAGCAACTTCCAACAAGTTCATTACGTGCATCCATACGGTGACGACAGTGAAGAGTACCGTGACATCCACAAACATAGTGTTCCACCATCGGTGTCACAACAGCCACTGACTTCCTCTCAGGAGTATTTAGAATTGCACAAGAGGGAGAGTGACATTTAAGATGGCATTTTTAATGCTTTATCCTGCAGTAGCAGTTCTCTCTATGTTTGTACTGATGGTAATCATATTAATTCTAAGATTTGGAGCTCGCTGGTGCAAGCTCCGTCATAACACGCTGGCTGACCAAGAATATTGGAATGAGGATGATGCATATGAACAAAAAGTTTCATATGCATAATTTTTTTGCTTTTTACAATTTTTTTACTAACATTCTTTAGATTATAGTCATGACAATGCATGCCATCAAGCACATTCTTGGTCAGTGTAATTTTGTGACAATTAGCAAATCAGTATTTTTTTTTCAATTAATAATTTTTGATCTACATTCCCAGTTTTTATACACTTTATTTTACCTAAGGTAACTTTTTTTTGCTATGTATAAGTTGAATTATATTCTAGAACCCGTCCATCTTGTAGTTATATTTTATTGATATAATTATTTGTAGGTAAAATGTTCATAAATTTTATTTTATTCCTCATATCTAACAGTGTTTTGTGTTCCAATTTTATAACAAAAACATTTTTATACTATTATTATACTTAATAAAATCACTGTTACACTATGTCGATTTCTTATGCCTTATAGTGTGTTAGTGATGTATTAAATGCACTTATTTAAATAGAAATATTTAACTTCTAATTAAATTAAAATCTGAAAGGACTGTCACTATTTTAGTATGTTTAACAATAATTATACATTCAGACTTCATTAGAAATGTAAGTTATATCTTTATATAAATGAACTGGTATTTTTAGTAATTTAGAATCAAGTAGAACTCGAATATTGCATTTGAAAATGACATGTAATCCGTCCAATAAATTAAGTTTATGTACGAAATAACATGCTTGTTTCATTTCTATAAATAATTGATCGGTTTAATCCAGACCTCATGTGACAGGTATCGAACAGATTAATACCGACATCAATAGCTGATGACTGCCGCCTTTCATGTAAAAGTAAGGGCGTAAACACTGAATTAGATATTGTTGAGGAATTTTGGTTATAGATACCATATCCCAATAAATGGGTTGAACTGCTGAACTGCTTCATGTTGAAATACTATCTTCTAGAAATAGTGTACTCTCGGGTCAAACGCAAAAAGGTACTGCGGCCTTGGCCTGGAGCAAGACAAGGAACAGCGGGTTACCTTAACAAAGGGATTTAATTGGAAAGAACAGAGTGTGACGTTCCCTCTCGCCATTCCCCTGGGCGGGAAAAGTTATTTGATGATTTTCCGTCTAGAAAAAAAAGAAAGTTGAAGTGTACCTATAGCTGCAATTACTTATAAGGTAGAATGGTGTTACCTTACTATAAGGGGGTGAACAGAAGTTCAGGAATTTACCCATTTTTAAATCACTCTCCCCCTTCTGCGTCCAGTCACTCTTCAAATGTTTTATTTACATTATACAAACATCATCAACAAAACAAAAATTAGGTACATACAAATTATCGACTTAAAAATAGGTGCTGTTAAAAATAAAAGATTTTTTTACGACTTCATTTATAGTACTTAATTTGTATCCTACCTTTCTCGACAACTACATACGAGAATGCACCTAAAGATGTGGACACGTCACATCTACCTTGATTACCACGAGGTTTTTGTAGGCACACCTCACCAATCAAGAAAAGTAAAGAATTATTTAAAAGAGAATTTGCATTACTGGAACTAGGTAGCCCACTACAGCAATGAGCCTTCTCCACAGAGACAGTAAAATTAAGACGAACGGGTAGCTCGAAAAGCCACCAGACCACAACGCCCAGTCGAGATTAGGGGTGCAAGTGCAGTAACCCAGGCTGAGACCAAAAATTAATGGGGTGGTTTTAAGTCAATGGCAATCTCACTCGCCCCTTCAAGGTGGGAGCAGCCATTTACCCTCTTCAAGAAAAAGTACTAAAGTTATTGAATTTCTTATTTATTGCACAAAGTACATTTAAAGAGTATGTCCACTCCATTTAATGAAGTCGAGGTGAGCTTATATAGGGTCTCACAATTTTGAAATTCAAATTTTAGTGCTAGAGTCAGCCCAAGGGTGCATAGGTATTCCAGTGTTTATATGCTCTTTAAAGGTACCTATTTAATGACATAACAGAGTGTAAATTTGACTTTTTGTTAATTTATTATAGACCTACCAATACACAAAATGAACTGTATTAAGAAATTCTAAGTGAAATTCTCAGCATCTATTGCCTCTCAAGAACTAATCTATTTTACTTTTTATTGAGAAAATACCCTTACGGTATTTTAGCGGTAAAAGCATTCATTTGAAAATACAATGAAATAAAGATTATGAACAAAATACTAGACGCATGGAGTCTAAAATATAATATTTATTTCAGTTAGACCCTGATTCACAATGTAACAGATTTTAAATAAAGAATGTATTTGTATCAACTATGTGTTACATACAAGTTTATTATGTTTATATACATTTGAACAGTGATGCAACAGGCCTCAAAATTAATTTAAAAACAGCATGCAGCTAACACAACATGAATCATGTTGCGATAAGAAAAAAACTGTATATCATAGTGTTCACTTACTCATAAAATTCCCTATTTAATCACACTCTGAACTAGGCAATGATCTGATACAAACAATCATTCACATGCTATGATTTAACTAGTTAAAAATATGGATTTTTAATCAAACATTCATTTAAATTCAAGTTATTGTCTTAGCTGGCAAGGTTGTCCAATATTTATAACTATTACTTTATATTGTATTTAACATTTCATTTGTAAAAAGATTAATTTTATTACAATTGCTTAAAAATGTTACATTTTATTGTAAACAAATACTTTTTGCAGGTAGTTTTGAATAGTATTTTTTTAGTCTCACACATTGAAGCAGAAGCACAAAATTAACTTAGTCTAGCACTAAATACTGCAGTCCAAACTTTGAAAGGATTTCCTCTTATTTAGGGATGTATGCCTTATCTATTTTGACATCATCAACTGGGCAATCATTTTTATCACACTCAACTAATCCTATTCTCTTCACTACAGCCATCCCAGACTGCACTCTGCCAAAGATTGCATGCTTTCCATCAAGCCACTGCGTTGGAGCTAATGTGATAAAGAATTGAGATCCATTGGAGTCAGGCCCAGCATTTGCCATGGACAACACTCCAGCTCCTGTGTGCTTTAAGTCTGATGCTATTTCATCATCAAACGTCGGTCCGTATATAGATTGGCCTCCCTTCCCGGTGCCAGTAGGATCACCGCCTTGTATCATGAAATCCCTTATGACTCTGTGGAATTTTGTATTATTGTAGTAACCGCGACGAACTAACTCCATAAAATTTCGACATGTTATCGGTGCGTGTTTCCAATACATCTCCACAACTATTTGACCCATTCTGAAAATAATGAATTAAATAAACAAATTATTAAAATGTAGAACTATAACCTAACTCACTTAAGTTTTATAAACACCAGTTTCTTACGTTGTTTCTAATACAGCAACGGGCGGCTGCCATGATTTATCAGGAATTCCAGCATTAGAAAAACCGAGCATGATGCTAGTGACAGTTATGTTTACAAAACTAAACTCAGACTCAGTTTTCAAAATATAAAAAACACGCAAAAATACTCCTTTTGTTTGTTAGCGTCAATTTCAATTTAACTTCGAGTTGACTTGACGTTGACAACAGATCAACGAGAACTACGTGTTTGAAAATCTACAATCTATGGTAAACTCAAAATGGACCATTGTATTTTTAGTTGTTTTGTTTGGGAGGCGGAGGACTACTCGTTCTTTCAGCGCGATACGGCTGTTTACTAATCACTAAATAAAGTCAAAAACCAATACACCAAAGCAATTTGATTACAGCCACCCTATAACAAATGAGGACCTTTGTTTATAATTCAACTACCACGTAGAAAATGAATTTGGTATTGGTGAAAATAACAGGGGCAGTAAAAATGGAATGGATGGATGGAATCGGAGTATCAACCAAGCAACTTTAAGTCAAACTTTTAAATATATATAAATTCTTGAATAATACACAATTCTTTTATCACCTTAGTAAGTAGGAATTTGTAGAAATTTCTTGGATGTAGATGTAGGTACCATTTGAGTTGATGCCCATTACTTTATTGTTATTTGCCAATATATGAAATCATATCAATCATGATCATTGGACATACTTTTTTTAAAGGAAGCATTTTAACGTATTCTTTAACAAACATTCAGTAAACATATTTTTTCTAATGTTAATTCCTAATATTAGGATATCAGTCAAACATAAAATGATTTTCGATTGACCGGACGAGCTACACACGGTTGTTGAACAAGTTGCTTTCTTTACAACTTCGTTATCGTCATATTCGTCATTCGTCGGGCCAAGCAAGCTTACAGAAAACAAATTACAATTATCAGTAAATAACAATTAAGCAATTAGAAACTAAAAATCTTTGTATTTTTTTATAAACAATTCATTAAACATTTCAACAACGTACAATACCGATTATAACTTTTTTACTACTCTTATAAAAGCATCCAGAAGTTATGTGTGATGATTTTTTTGTAAAAATATTCTGGACTCGCCATAACTTCGCCCTAACAAATAAAAAGTAGAAAGAACAACAACATAAAACGTCTTGTTGACTGCTGCTTGGAGCAACGGGATATCTAATGATACGTATAAAATGTGTAATGCAGACAAAATGCAGATGTATGAACTTATTATTATTAGGTAAATTTATCGTTGAACTGAAATATCGAAAAACTTTACTAAATTAACTAATATGATATATTATGTTTTTCTAATAAGATTTATGTATTTTTAATTTTTTTACGTCCAGCAGATAGATTCTTCCAAAAATCGTTTACTTCTATTGGAAAAATTATTTAGCTGTGGTTCTATCTGTATCTGCCTGCCAGACTGTTTTGTCTGTCACCTAGGTACCCTGATTACTAAATTTAAGATAAACCAAAGAGACAAACGTTAAATTTCCAATCGCAGATTGTGGCATTCACTATATTTGTTTACTTTTGGTGTCGTATTTTTATTTCGTTTAGTGCGCCGTGACGTAAGAAAACGTTGTTGATGTGCCAACAGGGTTTTGTAAGGCTGTTGTAACGTAATTTTGTTCGGAGGAAGTGACATTTCGAAGAGTTTGATTTACGTACAGTAACTTGGTGATAACGAAATTGAAAAGGTGTGGGTGTTTTTGCGATGGAATCGGAGCATCAACCAAAATTGAGTCCCGTGAGGGCTTTTCAAGGTATGTAAAGATATATACAAGGCAGTGACGTAGGTATGTAAATATTCATGTCAATGATGTTATTGTTTTACTTCGCAGTGCTCCATGGGTGCAACTCTGATGCTGAAGAGGCTTACACCAGTCTTTCCGAGTACCATGACTACGAGCCAAGCTTGGAGTTTGATGATTCAGAGCTTATCCAGACATCAGGCTTAGGTAAGCTAAATCTAAATGTCAGGGTAAAGGTTGCTATGAAGTTCACTGGCTAGGTATATAGGTATGCACACAAAATAATTATTTATAATCTAGGCAAATTGTTTCACAATTCATGATTGCATGTTTACACTGTTCTTTGTTATAAATAATGGTACTTCTTCTAATTACTTAGCACCACTCAATTAATTTAAGATTCTTTAAATAATCTGTGTCAGTACTATAAAATAGAACATTAAAATTATTAATTGTAATTGATCAAATTCACAACCGGCCTGTGGTTAAACCCACACCAAGTTTATATTATAAAAATAAACAACTTCACAACAATACAACACACACTTTTTAAATATTTCTGCATTTGCTAAGTTAACATATTATCATAGAACTGACCTATGTTGTAGTGTCACATTTTAATATTAAAGGTGTTACCATATAATGAGTCATTCAACATGAATTTTTATATAAATCTAATTTATATACATTATATACTGTGACTAACTAAACACAATACTTGCATTAGCGACTTTCTTAACTCTTCTACTGGACAAACAATAGTGCATTGAATTGATTGATCTGTTCTGATGTAATGGCCGCCATAAAAAGTAAGCTACACACATCCTGTATGCAAAGCGCTACAAATAAGGAATACTGCTCACAATTTTATGAAAAATGTACTTCTATACCAGTCTAATTTATTTTACCAGTTCTTCAAATATTTCTCACCAGTTTTGTTATCAGTACCACCAGCATAGTATAGACACAGCCTCCAGCCTAGCCTTTGAATTTATAATAACTTAAATATTGTGTGTTTGTACTTTTAAAGCTAGCGTGCTGGCCAATTATAATGTAAGAAATTACTCCCGCATCTCATCTTCTGCTCAGCTCCTATTGATTTTAGGTTTTAGGGTGATGTTTTATAGTCTATAACTTTACTTACTATTAGGGTAAGTAAAGTTATAGACTATAAAACATCACCATTGTTGGATTTTCCAACAAAATATTAAATTTTAATATTTAGTTCTAGAGTTTAGTGTTACAATCAAGTAAACAAACTATTAAATTTTTTAATATTTGTGTAGAACTCCTATATATAACTACAGTTTCTTGCAATTTTCTTAGACTTTTTACTTTTTACTACAAATTCGATTTTACAGTATCACATATCAACATGATCCTACGATGAGCTTTCAGCACTAAAGAGATTACTACTTTTCTATATAATTACACTATTACAATTTACTTTTTTATAATACAATTCAATACTTTGATAAGATTTCAGATATTTTCAATGTACACTTACATTTTTTTATTTAAGCTCTGTGTTTGGGCTAAAATAAACAAGATACAAAAATAAAATTGATTTTAGAATGTACTTGATGCTATAAACAAAAATAAAATTGATTTTAGAATGTACTTGATGCTATAAACAAAAATGAAACAGGAAGTGGTATGAATCATGTCTAGTTCAACAGTTGATGTTGTATAATAAAATGATGAGTAATTAATGATAGTGTTATCAGCAGATTAGTAAGTCAAATCTGAGCTACTTTGTCATGCCTATTTCAATACTAGACCTTACACATGGCTTTTTTTTTGTCAGTGGAAAATTATCCAATGACTTCTCCTGCCTAGGGTAAGGCGAAAGAGAGTGTCAGACTCTTACTGACTAAACCCCTCCCCCCCCCCCCCGTTCCTTCTCCTGCTCTGGGCCGAGGTCGCGGTGCCTCATTGCGTTTACCCTGCAGCCCCGGCTGTGCCTACTAGTTAAAGTTATAAAATGGTTAATTTTCTCAGGCACAACTAAATTGTTTCGAGTTTTCAATATTACACTAAAATATTCATAAACAATCACATTTTTATTGAATTGACAGTAAAAGGTATTCATCTAGATAGTTTCTATAAATATTTTGAGGCCAACAATTCCGGATATTTCAAATTAAGTATTTACTGAATTTAAACTTATTAGAGTCCCCTAGTATAGTCACATGTAACATGAACGATTGGTAAAATATTTATGGTAAGGGTAAAATTGAATGATATTTTCCTCATTTATTTCTGACAATTTTATTGATATCTTAAAGTTCGAATTTGCATTAAAAGTTAAAATAAATTATAAATATATATGTATAGTGCTAGCCTACACGCCACCAAATTTTTAGCTATGATTTGTCCCATTGATTATGCAGTAATATACAGTTAATGCATAATCTATTGGATTTATATAATATGAAATTGGTTGTAGGTTCGAATCATTGTTTTAATGAGAAATAATTCTTAATAAAAGAAGCTTAATGACATTTTTCTACTGTGTTTTTACCTTTTGTTGTTTGTACCTTTCTGTGAAAGGGCAAACACAGATTGACATTTATTATTCCTGTAGGTAGCGGTAGTATGTACAAAATACTAAATGAGCGGCCTGGTTTGTAAGTAGCTAGCTTTTCGTGTTCGAATATCAGGCTCGGGCAATGGACTGGATTTAGTAGCTGCTCCGATTTCCACTTCCAAAAATAAGAACATATAATGTGCATGACAATAAATACTATTTATGTATAGTATACAGAGGTACTCATAACATATTATGTGTCAAATTTCAGCGAAATGGGCCATTTGCCTCTTTAGGAAGTATGTTTATGTTAAAAAAAGCATAACATGTTTACCCTCTTTTAGTCATTTTCGTTATAAGTACTCATTATCTATTTTGTTTTCGTTTAGAATTACCTAAGTAAGTACTATATTTTACCTCTTAGATAATGTCAAACTTCTCATAATTAGTGATTCAGTGCGGATTCAAATACGTGCGGAAAGTAAATATTGTCGCTTTGCGCGTAACTTTTTCTAAAGATAACTTAGTAGGTATATCAAACTACGCAAAGATGTGTTTTGATTAATTATTTCTTCACGCTTAAATATGGTCCTGAGTCGTGGGTACGTTTCCAAATGGATAATTTAATACAATCACACTCGCTCAAACCGACAAAAAGAATTGTTTCCCGCTGCAATTCGATTCAATTCGCGACACGTCATTCAGTTGCTGATCACTGGTAATATTGCACACATTAACTGCAAAATTGCTGTTGCCTATGTTATTGGAGTAGCTATGTGGCACTAGTGCGTTTTTTGAGTAAAATCATCCATTGTCTTCTCTCGCATGTTTAGGCGACAGGGAGTGTCGTCAGACTCTTATTGACTAAAAATCTACCCGTTCCTTCTTCTACTACGCGATACCTTATTGTGCTTGCCCTGCAACCTCCACTCAACATCGACCCTGTAGGGCCCCATATATGGTGGTCTGACGGCTCTTAGAGGCACGCGTGGAAAGCTACGCACCGTACGCTAGGCGAGTAAGGGCAGCTCGCCGCCCGACGCGGGGTAAGCGCAATGAGGCACCGCGACCTCGGCCGAGAGCATGCGAAGGAACAGGGGGGTTTTTAGTCAGTAAGAGTCTGACACTCCCTCCCGCCCGGCCCTGGGCGGGAGTAGTAATTGATGATTTTCCCCTCACAAAAAAAAAAGAAAATACGCCTCTCCATAAAATAATGACAATTGTTATTATTTTAGTTTATTTTGATGTTGAACATGCCTACCTGTTGTGTAGCATGTATATAAACATAGCAACAGGTTCATATAACAACACAAGTCTTAGTTATTACTTGCGTCGCACAACGCTACAAGACTTATCATAACATGACGTCATTCTCTAAAAAAGTAATGACATATGTACCCTACCTAGAAATGTAATTAGATATTTACTTTACTATTCTTAACCTTTCAATCGAGGTTATTCGAGGCACAATAAAAGAACAAAAGGTGCGCGAACGGTGGTGTTTGCTTGGGATTTGATGAATTAATAACGACTTTTTCACGAAAATAATAGCTAAAGACTAAAATGACTTGCTGCTTAAAGAGCTCCTAGAAAGGCTTTTTTCTTGAGGTGGGAAAATCATCAAATGACTACCTTGTCTGACACTGCCTTTCGCCCAGGGTGGGGCGAGAGGCAGTATCAGTGACAAGGTAGACTTTCTCACTAAAAACCACCGCGTTCCTCCTGCTTTAGGCTGTAGTCGAACATAATTGCACTTGACCCGCAACCCCGGCCGGGTAAGCCCCGGTTGTGATGGTCTGTTGGCTCTATACACTCTGGTTACATTCTGGTCGGGCGATGGCTTTTATGGTGGCTGGAGATAGAGGCTCTATCCTCGAAGTGTGTCCTCTTGCGGCGGCTGGGACGTAAGGAGGACATTTCTCTCATGCGTTCTTCCTCCTATTCTTCCTCTTGTGAGAATCACTGCTTTGTAGAAAAAGGAGACGGGATCCCAGTTCCTCTCATTCCGCAAATGGCCTCGACAATGATATGATATTCAGTTTGACATGTCATAGTGACAATTTATTGTTTTTTGACACTAACAAATTTGTTAGTAGTTTTAAATTGACTAGGAAGTCTTTGTTAATTCCTAGAAAATGTAAAGTATTACTTGCTAGCCTTCTAGCAAATATTATTAATCTAGTATTAAGTGACGAAACTATATTATTTAGACATTCTAATAATGTAGTGATTGATTGTACATATAATAGTACGACGGAGACTCAACATTTAGGGACAAATGTGGGTAGCACTCCAGATAATTTTTTAAATTAAATTTTGAGACAACAGAAGATAACCTAATGAATTCTCATACTACAAATTATCAAAAGGTTTCTTCTCGCCGCATATTATATAATAAACACAAACAAGGAAATATTACACTCCTTAGTCAAAATATTCAGGGCATTTCATCCAAATTACTAGAATTGGAATTATTTTTAGAAAAATTTAAATTTGACATAATTTGTATAACAGAGCATTGGATGAAGAAGTATCAAGTAGAATTTATGAGTTTTAAAAACTATTGTGTTGGTAGTTTCTTTAGCCGTCAAGCAATGATTCATGGTGGTAGTTTAATTTTATTAAAAAACTCAATTAAGTATAAAGAAAGACAAGATATAACTTCACTTTCCATTGA